CAGACATTGATGGACACTTAATGTTGTTAAAAATCCGCCGATTCTTCTCTCGCACGAAATCGATCGCTCATACGGCAGCCATGTCGTTCGAAAGCAAATTGCATACTCCTACCGTCATGCTTAGCGCGCCTAGTGCTATAAGGGGAAAGGCCTATTAAGTGTAAAAATCTCACAGCTTATCAACCAACTGTGTTCGCGCTGCTTGTTCCCAGTTGTTGACAAGTCTGGAACAAGTTGTTATCATCTTGTAACAAGGTTGATGAGGCCAACAGACTCGCAACAAGTAACAATTTGTTAACAAGTTGCTGATAACAAGCTCGTAGCAACTTGTTACGAACAGTCTGTATACATTAGTCTTGTTGGAACAACTTGAATTGTTATAAGTTTGTTACCGTCATCAACCTTGTAACAAGGCGATAACAACTTGACCCAGACTTGTCACAACAACTGGGAACAAAGAACAAACATTGCGAACACGTCCTGATATCGGTTTGACAACAACTTTGTTACAACTTCTTTGCAGATCGGTGAGAGCGTGCGCTTTGTAACAATTTGTTCACAGAGGAATTTGTGCGGTTAGCTGTACTCGAATGGAAACAAGCTGGAATAGTTGTCCGGCGCACGTCTTGTGCGATTTCGTAAGGCGAAATCGTGCAAATTGAAAACTAGGCTACATGCAATGAAAAATTTAGCATAATTTGCTCGCTTCTATCATACGTCTGAAGTTGAGCACCGCAGGTCTATTGCGATTCATCGACAAAGCTATACTATACAGTATAAAGTTAGTTTTATAGTTAACTGGTTTCCTGCTGTGGTATTTGACACTGGATCAATAAAAGATAACCCTCAAATTCTTCAATAATAATTGCCAAACTACGGTACGTCAAGAGAGAATTGAAAGCCAGCATAAATAAAGTTACTTTAGCCTTTAGATTGGTTTAGCACACACAAGATTTCCAAGTAATCTACTGAGCTGTGAACAGCTGCGAATAGAACACTGCACTGGAGACTACAGAAGCTTTACTCACCTGAATAATTATTTCACAAATCGTCTGTAAGCGTTTCTTCGTTGAGACTTGAGTTTCAACTAACTGCCTTGCTAAATATAAGCCATTCTTCGTAGTTCGCTCACGGGAATATATTAATGGACGTTTACCGCATTACGGGGAAGTACATTTCGAATTAGAAGATTTCCCCCTAAAAGCTATTAATATTGATATTGCAACACAGGAAACTTGGGAATATCATAAGATCATATTACATTAACAATTTCATAGATTAATTTAAATGACCTGAAAGTGATTTTCACCGCATACATGTAAATCCTGAAGGCAAGTAAATTTTAATTCAGTGCACAACATTAAGTTAATCATAATAACTATAAAATAATTTTAAAATATACACAGTTTGATTGTCCCTCGAAGCGAAATATTAGAAAAATATACTAACACCAATGGTGTACTATACATACACACGTAAAAAGGCACAAGTTGTAACAAACCTGCAGCAGACTTGTAGCAATGCTGTTCCAACAACTTGTCAAAAGGATGTGTTCGCACTGCTTGTTCCCAGCTTGTTGTCAACGGCTTGTTGACAACTTGCTACAAGGTTGTTGAGCTCAACAGACTTGTTACAAGTTGCTCCAACAACTTGTTATCGTCCTGCAATTCATGACAATTTGTCAACAAGTTGTGAGTGACAACCTTGTAGCAACTTGACAAAACAACAGCATTGTTACAACTTGTTAGCAAGCTTGCCACAAGCCTGTTGCGAACACATCTTGTTGACAAGTTGTGAGATTTTTACGTGTTTAGACTTGCTACAAGTTGACATTATAGATATCTTATATACACTAGATAGTGCATCTAATTATTCTGCAATTCAAAAATTGAAGCCGTGATTGCAGACTCAGGATATTCCCATGAAATGGGAAGATTCGTATTTTTTTCTATTTCTTAAAAAGGGAACTTAAACATTAAGTTACAGGTAAACTACGTGAAGCGTTCCTCTTTTGACTTCGTAACTCATTTGGAATTTTCCTCATTAGCTTTGCAAATTTGAAAAACTCTTTGCAAATCCCTTGAGGGAATTTGCAATGTAGGAATCGGCTGTTGCAATATTCCAAACTTTATTTTAAATTTTCCTAACTTCCTGTTTAATTTCCTAACTTCCTGTTCTGTTCTGAGCGTTGTTATTGGTCGATTATTTTTGTTAGCCAATTACAACGCCCAGAACAAAACAGGAAGTTAGGAACTTGTAACAGGAAGTTAAGAACTTCTAACAGGAACTGAGGAAATTTTTTTTGGCTTTTAGCAACATGGCAAATTCCCTCAAGGGATTTGCAAGGGAGTTTTTTAAATTGCAAAAGTAATGAGGAAAATTGCAATCAATTTAGAAACTCAAAAGAGGAACGCTTCACGTAGTTTACCTGTAAAGCTATTCCAAATACATTTTTAAACTATTCAAATGGTGAAAGTTGTTGTTGTTTTTTAAACGTTTATTAGCGAGTGGGAACTACCAACATGGCCGCCATCTATTCAAATGGGGGTAACCGCTGGAATATTCTTGACTTACCATACAGCTATTTCAATTAAGGTTGTCCCCCAAGCAAAGCGGAAAAGTCAAATACGAGCGCGGAAGGCTGCTGGGAATCGCCAATAAATTCATTCATTTATTAGCGATTCCCAGCAGCCTTTCGCGCTCGTATTCGACTTTAATTTCCGCTTCGCTCGGGGGACAACCTTAATTGAAATAGCTGTATAAGATATCTATGGTTGACATGTAATGCATTGCCACGTGCATGTCTCGTATTGTTAATGGTAAAAGGAGTGAAAACGAAATTGGCATCTTCAGTGCTGCCAAGAAAATTTTAACAAAATGTCTTCGCCGACTTTTCTTAGAGCTTGTAGTAAATTTTAGTCATCTTATATACTGGAATGCCATATAAATTACTTATTGTTTGAACCATAGTTAATAGAGGACAAATTCCAATAAAGCTTTTTGCAAGTCAAGATGAAATTTGTCACAGCAAAAGATAAGTGATATACGAGTCAACTTCTAGCAAGTCTATATTCTCTGCAGGCGTCTTTATGGGTTTTACGCTGCGAACCACCCATTACGCCCTAAATACATTGCATTATGCAATATATTGCGTTGTATTTAATATAAGTTATCACTATATTATCTTGGGCCAGCCAAGTATTTTTTTCAACACTAACCGCATGCTTATGTACTATTTAAAGCACGCGTAGGAGTGTTTTATCACATATAAAACACGACGCGTAGCGGAGTTTCCTCCTGAATTATTAATGAGTTTTTGAAATATATATATGGTGGTAGGTATATATGTATAAGTACACGATGGCCCTAATAAGGCAAGTGCAAAAATGTCACAGCTTGTCAAGATGAGAAGATGTGTTCGCACTGCTTTTTCAATAAAACAACCTTGTATAATCACCGATGTAGTTATACTTGTTAAATAATAAATATTTTTAATTTGGTTGTATCTCGCTCAATATTGGAAGTTAGTCCTTTCTGAATGAAATGATCTTTATGCCAATGGACCTTTCCCCTTATATAAACTAAAATTTTGATCTAGACAAGTCTAGACAAAAATTTCATCACAGCTTGAAAGAGCATTACAAAATTAGTAATATTCCAAAGTTTCGTTGCAAAATGTTGTAAAATGTGGATAATATAGCCTTGCGCAATTTGCAATTTTCAGCCGTCATTTTGTATTACAAACGGGAAATTGATGCCCCAACACCCGATTGGGCTGTCAATTTCCCGTGCGTAATACAAAATGACTGAAAAACGGCAAACTTCGCAGGGCTATATTATCCGCATTTTACAACATTTCGCAAAGAAACTTTGGAATATTACTAATTTTGTGATGCTCTTTCAAGCTGTGATGAAATTTTTGTCTAGATCAAAATTCTAGTTATAAGGGGAAAGGTCCATTGCGATACGGTTTGTATAGTTTTCACGTTACATGAAATCAAAAAGTGTCCAGTTTTTTGGGGGGACACCCGGTATAACAAACTCGAAAGCTGTTTATTTTCGGTATTTTATGCGCAGATAATAAACGCTTTCTCGCTTATTTTACAGGTGAAAGAAGATTTCATATTCTAACCAACAAATGAGCGCTTTAACTTCGGTTAAAGTTGAAAATATACTCTCTTTCTGCAAATTATTAAAAATATTCAATTAAGACCCCAATGAGAAATGTGTTAAAAATATACGGCTTACTGCATGCATATGTTATTTTCCATGCGTCAGCATGACATTGAATAAGGTTTCTGTTTTTGCCTGACATTCCAATGTAAGCACTCGCCAAGGCTCGTGAACCAATCGGTGATTTGGTCTTCGCGTGTGAGACATGGGACTGGGTACACCGAGGTCGTTATTCGAATACTGTAATAAAAATTTAGGAAAGAAATTTTAGCGTGGAAAATTAGATTGCCACAATATGACCACATTTTGTTGCTGCAAATCTCAGGTCGTTAATTACGGCTTTGCTGTATGCCTTAATCATACAAAAGGTTAAAGTGGTGCACTCGCGTCAAAATTTTTATTTTCTTATTTTCTTAAAATGCTCTTAAAACTGTATAGTAACTTGTTTTGAAGATTTTTGTTCCCATGCTTAATTCTTGAGATATTTCATTTTGTTTGTAACCGTGTGACGTCATTGACTCAATTGCATATATAATGAGACATCAGTAATTGTTGTGTATCTTTGCTGTTTTTGATGGATTTGTTAAAAAAAAAACAGTATGCTTAAAGGCGATCTACAGTCCGATCTGCGCATGTGCACAAATGAGCCCACTTTTTATGATACAAACAGTTTAACTATGTTTTGAGTTCTTGAAAAGCCTAATTGTTGTTTGTTGATCATTTATTATACTCCAGAAGCTTGAAAATATAAATAGTTGTCGAATAAAGCTCAATATTTTGGACACAAAAATGTAAACAAAGGCTTTGTTTACATACGGACTGTAGATCACCTTTAATGATGTAGGTTATTAAATTAAGAAACGCGCCGCATCTTTGAAAAGATTTGATAAAAAATAGCAAAGATACACAAACTGATGTGTCATTATATATGTAATTGAGTCATTGACATCACATGGTTACAAACAAGATAAAATATGTTTGTGTGATGTTATTCTGAGTGTCAGAGTAACATCACACAAGCATCTTATTCACCTGAGTACATTACACCAATACAGCAAATATCAAGATAAAGTATCTCAAGAACTAAGCATGGGAACAAAAACTTCAAAACGAGTTACTATACAGTTTTAAGAGCATTTTAAGAAAATAAGAAAATAAGAAAATAAAAATTTTGACGCGAGTGCCACTTTAGCTTATACCGAACAAGCTTTCGTTGGAAAAATATAAGGAGAACTTCGACATTTCGAGCGAAGGCCCTTCAGCACTACAGTAACTCCAGACGAAGAGCCTAATTCGCTCGAAACATCGAAATTCTCCCTATAGTTTTCAGTTGCATCACTACCAACGAAAGCTTAATGTTCATTTGATTGGCACTGCATACACTGACAAAGACAGTTCAAGATTATTATAACTTATACTGAGATTCAAGAGACCCTTCAACTATTATTCGATATCGAGTGCATGAGACGCCAACAAAATCTTGATATTTACCCATAACCTAACATGGCACTAACCATACATGAACTTGTGGTTAGAACTCGACAACTGGACTCTGTAGCTCAGTTGGTTAGAGCACTGCACTGCATGAATCGCAGGGTCGCAGGTTCTATTCCTGCCTGCAGGGACCTAGAGTTGACTGGCTCTACCATGTCAGTGCTTTCACGGTTAAAATATTATTGCCACAGCTTTGTTACGTTGTTAATATCAAACGAAAATTATCGAAGTCCACTCACCCGTCCCCTCTATGAAGTTCTTGTCGGTTACGGCCATCAAAAGACGCAAAAGCTCCCGAACGACTGTCTTGGGATAAAATAATCTAAAAAAATAATCATCAGTATCATATTTACAATCACGAAACGATGATATCAATAGTTTATTAGATAATATTGATAGACTACATAGATATAGAATTGATGGATAACATTGATATTCTAGATTATAATTTTACTATCAAGTGGGCTTTGATGAACAAGAAGTCAAGCGAAAGCAAGAAAACAATAGTTAGTACTAAGGGCCGTCGCGAGCAGTCTTCCTTTGGGGGGGGGGGGGGG